TTGTTGGCATCCAGACTGTTGAAGATGGCACGCCGTTCTGGGGAAAGCATGTCCAGGGACACAGCGCGCTGGTCCAGGCCTAGCTGCCGTCTCTCCATGCTTCGGATGGTTGCAGCTCGCTGTAACTTGTCGTGGACTTCTATGCTCATGCGCCGGCGTGTCTCTCTGAACTCAGCTCGAACATTTGCTTTCCACTCAGCTGCATGAGCTTTGATCTCTCCAACCTCAGGAAAAGAATATTGTCAGATATAAGGTTTAGTAAATATACTGCACTAGGTTCCCTTTACCTTATTGTGTGCACCCCACCTGCAGAGCCCCTGAAAACAGAATGTCTGTTTTCTTATCACATGGTAAATCAGAAACATACTTCTCTGAGTACTTGGAACATGAGACAAATTAGATTAGATGTTAATTCAAAACAGAAGGGATTCTCACTGGAATATGTCACCAGTCAGAAATAGGTTGAACTGTAAGGATGAATAACTTTGGCAGGCAAAATCTGACTAAATACAAATTAATGTATATGACAGAATAAACAGCTGTATAGTAAAATTATGGCAATTTGGTGGCACCCAGATTAGAGGTTTAATGTGAAAACGTACCTCTTCTTTTGTCTTTTTGGACAGCACCCTCAGCCAGTCACTGATCATGTTCAACACTGCAGCAAAATAAGCCAGGCCACCCAAGATCCAGAACCACACTAGCGGTCTGTACCACTCCCGGTACTCAATTCTCCGGTCTCCACCTGATCAGGAAAAAACAAACAAACTTGTAACTGCCTGCAGGTGTCCTCTCCCGAACCTTTCAGGGATTGAAAGGGGGGAATTCATGTATTTTGTTTTATCTGTTTTGGGTCCACAAGCACAGACAAAAACATAACTGGCATAAGTATTTGTTATAGGAGCAGGTGTTGTTTTTTTCTTTATTAGGAAATGTCACACCAGGACCGAGGCCTTCATCCATTACAGGTAAACCTGTCCTTAATGGAGAATTGACATTTCAGTCCAGGGCTGATAGACAATGCTATCTGACAGTTATAAAATATGTTGAATTACCAATGTGCAGAAGACAATTTACATACTGTTACTAAAAATTGTGGTTGTAAAGCAATCTACATATAAAAACACCAAAGCAGTGACTCAGTTACTCATTACAGTACTTCAGGCTTCCCAAAGTATTTGGAAAACTAGGTGAAGAGAGGAGCTGAGCTATTGCTTGATCACCACTAAGTACACCAAGTGAAGGTGTACTGAGAGCATCTGGCAGAGGCTTTGGTCCACGAGATCTTCGATTCCAGTCTCCAGGAGTGCTTCAACAGCATTCCTGGAGGGAGGAACCAGATGGTGGACAGTGGAGTTGAAGGGAGCTGTCAAGCTAAAGCATGAGTCCACAGGCTAACTGTGCCATTCCAGGAGGCAGCTGACAGGTACTGGCAGGCCAAGCACAGTATGGCTCTGGCAGTAGCTGAGGAAATCTTTGATCCAGGTGCAGGTGGCATGGGGGATGTGGAAGTGGTCCAGTTTGGTGGTGAGGATGTCTTGTATTATAGTATTGACCACTGAGCCGTAATCCATGAAGAGCATCCTCACCATAGCTCTTTCTGTCTGTGAAGGTTCTCAGTCATCCAGGTTATTGTAG